AGGTTTTTTTCTATTTATCCGTGTGGTATATTTCTGTACCATATATGTACGTCTTGATGTCGAAAGAAATAATTTTGTGTTGCTGATAATTTTGTGCCACACAGCTGCAGGTTTTAGGGGATCAATCTGCAGATCTTGCGCAATAAGATACAAAATGACAATAACTGTATTTACAAATGTTCTTTTGTATTCTCATTAACAGGAGAATCTCTTGCGACAGCGTGCAAATCATTAACTGCAGATCCTCTTCCATGCAGGATAACAATGAACGCCTTTAGCCCAGCATTAAGTGCATTAATAATGAATCATTAATTTCCTTTGCTAATTCTCCCACACAGACTTTGGCCTGACCTGAGAGGTGGGGGTCACTGTTTAACTAAGTCTGCAGGTGGGGACATGAGTCCCCTAGGGTTGAGACTTGCAACTAAGCAGACGTCATAGTTATCATGCATCAGAGCGTGCCGAGCCACCACAGTCCACCGGCCCCCCCACGGATCCAGCTCCAAAATGTCCTTTGTTATATCGTCATGACGATCTAAAAGTAGTAATGAAACAGATTTCAGTCCCATGGAAACATCTTTCAAGCACTTTTAATTAAATGGATACAGATATTCTTTCTTACCTGCTCCTTTGTAGTATCCACACACATATATCTTGCCTCCCACCACTCCTGCGTTTGAGGCATTGGTGCGCAGAGAGAGCTGTGCGAATGGGAGAGGAGGTCCATCCCTCCACTTATTTTCATCTGGGTTGTAGATCTCCACAGCATCAAGGCAGTGGCGTGATTGCCCACAGTCACTGCCCTCACAACCAATACCACCTGCAAAATCCATATTTCATCAGAAAATGGCTTCATTCTCTCAAACTATTTCTAACACTTAATAAGTGCAGCACAATCAGAGTTTCCCTTCAATATTGTAATATCTATAGAAAATGTGCCATCAGTCAACACCCTCTAAAAGGATCATCAAAAATATTGTTTCAATATTGCATACCAAGAGAGATTAAAAAGAAAACAATACATAATCTTACCCATCACATAAATGTCACCATTGAGTACAACGGCACTGCAGCGATACTTTGAGTACTTCATGGGTCCTAACTCTGTCCACTTATTTATGTTTGGATCATACTCCAGCAGTCGGTTACTGAGACGGTCCGGCTCATCATCCGTCCGGTATGACTGGGTGGTTGAAGGGGAGGGAGAGGGAGACAAAGCAGTCAGAGAGGGGTTACAGACACTCAAGGTTTTTGCAGGTCTCAAAAGTCTCACATTCACTTTAAATGTATGACTAAAATGGTTGTACGTTTTTTTTAGCCATTAAAATAATGTTAAGATATTTTGATATTACCTGTGGTGTTCGACCCCCGATCACATAAAGGCGATCTTTCATCCCGACTGCGCTGTGATAGGCTAAAGGCAGAGGCAGGGGAGCTGCACTGCGCCACGGCCCTCCTTGCAGAGACCACCGCTCCACACAGTTAGTGATGAGAAGCTGGTTCTTCAGCTTCATCTGCCCCCCCAGCAGGTACAGAGTTTCCCCCAGTGATGCCAGAGCGTAGGAGTCTCGGTATTCTGCTGACGACAGGCACTCCCAACTTCCCTGCGCCTCCACTTTGTACCTGGCCAACAGGGAAAACAATCAGTGCCATCTGAGTGGGGTAAGCAAATACACAGTTATCAAATGTGTCATCTAATGTCTTACCTGTAAATCTCAACGTTAATGTCTTTCTGTCGGGCCATTTTACGAGCACTTGCCTCTCCTGCGACTATAATGTCATTTTTTTCAGTAACAACCCCGGCACACACAAACCCCAGAGCCTCTGCGTAGCGAGGTGAAGTGATGTAGTAGGTTCGGCCTGTGGATGGGGCATAGCAGAAGCTGCGCTCAGCAAAGCTGCCATATCTCGATCTAATCCCATCACCATCGTTTCCAATACAGAGCAGCAGGTCTGTGGTCTCCATGCCGTAGCGCAGCTTTAGCTTGCGTGGCGCTGCTGAGGGGTGCATCGCTGTGACATCCAAGGCTTGATTGAGCATCTCAAGACACTCAGCGTCAGACAGCAGGGCCGTGTTCCTCTTCATCGCGTCTTTCAAATTGTCAGGGTGTATCAGCGGCAGACGGACCTTCCTCAGGAGTTCAGGAAGGTGCAGATTACGGACCTCTCCATCTTCCACAGTGCAGTGTCTGACCCAGCGGAGGACCACATCCAGGATGGTCTCTTCTTGTGAAACGTTAAGGTCATCAGAGGTCAGCAGCTTTCCCAGTTGATGGGCCTCCAGCTCCAGGACTTCCTCATTTTGGCAGACTTGGACAAAGTTCTGCCCAAGAAAGCGCTGAGCATGTTCAGCTAAATCCTCCGCTCCAAGGTCACGGGCAAAGTAATACACACCGAGGCAGTTGGAAGCATCCATGTTCTCGGTCATGTGCAGCTGACAGCGATGGAAAACGTCGTCCATCTGCAGGAGAAAAGATGCAATAGAGATGCCTTGCACATTGGCGTTGGTGAGAGCAAGATCTGAGCAGTACATGTAGTTCAGCAGGAGGGCCAGGCTGTCTGCAGGGGTGTCACGCAGAACTATTTCTCTAGTGTTGCACTCGCGAAGGCCGCAGGTGAACATAACACGAAAGTAAGGACTAAAAGCGGACAAGACCACCCGGTGACAGGGGAAGCTGATTCCCTCAGCAACCAGCACCACATCCGTCAGATGCTCGCTCTCCCTCATCTTCCTCAGCTGGTTGAGCAGCACCAGCCCATGTTTGGAGGTAACATCCATTTTACCTCAACTTTTTAGTGACAATAATATTTACAAAAGTTAGGAAGTGTTATGCAATCTGAACACCTGGTCAGGAGATTGTCTCTAGAAAAACAAGAAGAAAACAAATGATTAGAAGCCATCAATATCATAAGAAACAGTAGTTCAAAGTATAATTAATACTAAAACTTCTATTCAACATTTGTTAACATTGAAGAATATCCCAATAAACCAGAATGGGTAATAACCATGATATTTAAAAATAAATGTTATGTCATCTAAAAAACACACATATAATATTACATACATTATAAATAATGATTTAGTTTTTTTTTTCTCTATCTGGCACAAATTAGACTAATGTGACAAAAACAGACAAACAATTGAAGATAATTTTGCTTATATTTGTATAATTATTATAATTATTTTTATAATATTATTATTATTTTAATCATTATGATTATTTTTAGTATTATTAGAATTATTAATATCATTATTATTTTCTTCTATTTATATTGCGATAACATTGTTATTGTTGTTTTTATGGCCACTGTAATCAAAATGCTGCTCTGATTCAAAAAATATACATTTTCTATTAGCCTTAAATATATTCAATACTAGCCAAATGTCCACCACCATTGTCCATACTGTATAGCCTGTACACTATTATAACTTTTATAACACCACATCTGTCCTTTGTATTACAGCATGCCCTTTTAAAGCCTTACCATAATCATTAGCTCCTTGGTAATCTTCAGCCTAAAAAGACGAGTACATTTCCATGTGTTGTTGATGTTGCTGAATTGGTCAGTCAGCTGTGTTAGAGAAGGTCCGAGAGACTGCAGGACACTAAGATATGTACCCCCTCCTCTGCTGTGGCCCTCTGAGCTGCCAACCCAAAATAGACAGTGTTGTTGCCGACAGCAAGTAGGTCAGAAGGTTTCCCTGGTCAGGACAGTGTTAACTTGTAATCTGAGACATGATAGAGACATGCATTGAATTATATTGATATTCCTTATTAGATTTGTTGGGATTATGTTGTACTTTGTGAGTAAAGTAATGTTACATGTTGTTTGCCTCAGTCACGTGTGTGCAGCTCTGGAAGGACTGAAATGAAACATTGCTTCGAGTTCGGATTCAGATTTCATGACGGCACTCTCTTAAAGGCCCAGTGTGCTCTCTGCCCACATGTTGCAATCATCACACATTGTCCATTAAGTTTGAGAAATGAAATCAGGACTTTTGCACCAACCAAAAGTAAGTTTATATACTCAATGTATTCGTTTTTAAAGAAATTATTGTAGGCCTTGGTACAGAGCAAGTATGTAAAAATATCTAACGATTACGTAAATATCAGTTTGTAGAATAGAGCAGATACAGAGGAGACATTTTACCAATGAAGAAACAACAACTGGGTTCCATAGCCATAGTTATTAAACAAATAGGAGAATTATTGAAAAGCATGTGTGTTGTATACATACTACTACATACACACATACTACTTGGACTTCTTTTATTTTGGTTCAGATGTTGCCCATGAGCAATGTGTTGCGTATAAGGAGACTTTTCATGCTTCATTACCTCCATTTTTGCAAGTGAATGGGAAAAAAAACTGGAAGGATGTGAACATGCCTGTCAAACATCCATCGACTCTCACCAGAGTTCATATTTTTCCTCTTTAACACCATAATTACATCCTTAGTGTGGGGGAAACTTCTGTGGTGCAATGCAGACTCAAAAGGAGACACAAGGAGAGCTGGAGCTTTGATGTCAAACACTGATGGTTTATTTGGAGTATTGGCCGGAGAATTCACAAAGCATGTCCAGGGCCAGAGGTCTGACTCCACGGTAGAGTTGCCACAATCGATTCTGAAGCGCCTGTCTCTGGATAGACCTTTTAACTAGTTTGGAGGAGAGTAATAAACATTCTTGACTAGATAGACTAAACAGATGGGGACACTGAATTACTTGCAACTGACGCTTATGGCCTCAAAGATTTCACACCTTGGAGTCAACAAGCCCCAAAAAGGAAGCGTTCCTTTTGTCCCCGTAACAATAAACTATGTTTGACCGAAAGGTGCCTGGCAACAACAACATATGGCTGAAGCAGCCCCATCCTTAATTAAGGGAGATAACAGATGCCAAGGCTGGTCCTCGGTGTCAGAGGGCAAAGGAGAATTTTTCCCCAACAGTTAGCTTTTTCCAACCTAACATCCTCCTTTAGTTAACCATTAGGCAATATGGTGTACATATGCACAGTTTTTCTTGTGACAGACGAACAGGAGCATCAGTAGTAAAGGGTAAGAAAAGTTGCAAAGATTCAGAACAATGGACTCTCGCAGATTTGGGAAATACATTGTGGAGCGGGAGGTGCTGGATGAGCAGAGACTGGAAGAGATAACGCAGAGAAAATCTCACTCTGACAATCAATCTTCTCTAACTGAACGCCTAAAAGACTCCTTAAGGTAAGAACCATTTCATGGCTTTCAAATGTACTCTACTTTAGATGTAGATGAATGATCTGATCTTCTATTCAAAGATAACCACAGACCCATTTCAGATATTTGTCCTTTAAGCTTTATACAATATAAAAACTTGTTTTCTGTATCCTTCACATCTCTTCCAGATGTACAGTACCCAAACTGAAACACAGCGTGATGAGCAGCTTGCCGGTGTTGTACTGGCTGCCCAAATACTCAGTCTGGGACTATGGCATGCCAGACCTCATCTCCGGCATCAGTGTGGGCATAATGCACCTGCCCCAAGGTATGACAATGGTCCATTATTTCATGACTTAAAGGGTGAATGACAAAAACCTACTTGAGTAGTTCAACTTTAATCCATCATTTAATCCAGTAAAATGCTAAAGCTTCATACAAATATTCATAAGTAAAGACTGAGATTGGTGTAACCAAACTTGTGTTTTCTTACAGGTTTGGCATATGCGATGTTGGCTTCCGTACCTCCTGTATTTGGGCTGTACTCGTCCCTCTATCCAGCATTGATCTACTTCTTTTTTGGAACATCACGTCATATCTCTATCGGTATTCAAAAGAGAGATTGAAAGTTAATAGAGCACATAGAGCAGTGCTGGTACACAATATAACAAATAATATGTTAGGATAAACTGACCAAAATATGCTATTATATTAAGTAAATGCTAAAATAAGCTATATGCAGTATAATAAAAGAGAGACGTTACACCGTTATCATTACAACCTCTGTAATAAGACTTTTCTTCATTGTGTTCAGGGACATTTACTGTGCTCAGCATCATGGTAGGCAGTGTGACAGAGAGACTTGCTCCAGATGTGAATTTCCTCATACAAAATGGGACCAACGTCACTGCAGAGGTGAACATACCTGCCAGGGACTCATACAGGGTGCAGGTGGCGGTTGCTACTACGGTTTTAGGAGGACTAATTCAGGTCTGAACCTTTTACTGAAATCATAACACGCCATTTTGTTGTTGAAGCTGCCAAAACTCACATTTACATACCTGATTGTTTTCATAGGTGGCTCTGGGTTTGGTCAAGTTTGGATTTGTGGGAACGTATTTGTCTGAGCCTCTGGTGCGGGCTTACACAACGGCTGCTTCAGCTCATGCTGTGGTGGCACAACTGAAGTACATCTTTGGAGTCTCACCAACACGGTTTAGTGGTCCCTTTTCAATGGTGTATGTGAGTACTATCAAGTCATTTCTTCTGATTACTTCCTACCAAAAATAACAGTAACACACTCAAAAGAGGTTGTTGTGCGTTTGTCATAATTTTATTTAAACTTGTATTCAACTGGAAATCTTTGAAATGTGTTATCTCTTTTATGTAAGAAAATATATTTATATCACACATACTTCCTTTATAAGACACTCTCTCCAACTGTAATGTATTTCAGGCTTGAAACAGGACATTGCTGAGGTTGGACATATCAGGGATCAATTAAATAATACTAGGGATGGGACGATGTAGGTTTGAATTGGAATAAAAACGATATAAAACATTTACAATAAGTTCACTGTGGTGAATTTATTTGATCAAGAAAGACGTGAATACACTTCCACAAAGTTCAATAAACATTGAGCCAGTAGTTCTGTAATCCTGCTGACAGAAAACAAGCCAGTACGAAAACACGCCTCCCTTGAGGGATGTTACTATGACTCAAAATCATTTGGTGTGTGCATCAAAGCATGTATGTGTTTTATTATTTACAGGACTAAGCCATAACCACCTACTGCTTTTTATTTTCCATTTTCAGACTCTGAAGGATGTTTGCTCCTTGCTGCCTTACACTCATCTTCCCACACTGGTGGTCAGCGCTGTGTCCATGGTGTTTTTGATTGCAGCGAAGGAGCTCAACTCTTTCATCAGTCCAAAGCTGCCAGTGCCGATCCCAGTGGAGCTCATCACAGTCAGTTGATAAGACGACACACTCTCTGGCCTCTCTTCGTGTTATCGCCTCTGTGCTCTGCGCTGCTGCTGCTGATGTTGCAGCTTGAAAAAGCACAGACACAGAAAGCTAAGCAGCTGAATCAGCAGTTGTGCCTCCTTTGTGCAGTTTACAGCAAAAATTGAGATTCTTTAAGGCTAATAATTAGTTTTACCTCTAGCATATGGTTAACAGGTTTTTAATGATTCTTGTTAATGGATTAAAAGGTGTTGTTTGTGGTTTCATCTCTATTATTTCCAATTATGGATTTAGATTGTGGCGGGGACATTGATATCAGCCTATACCCACTTGAACAGAAACTACACTATTTCAGTTGTTGGAGAAATTCCTAGTGGGTAAGCATTTCGATTTATTTTATACTGCTGTAATTCTTTTTTGAGTCACATTCCCCATCTTGTTTTGCAAGGCGCAACCAACAATCATTTTCATTTCCCACTAATCTGCTGATTATTTTTGAGATTAATCAATTATCATTTGTATGTTTGTAATTGTCAGCACCAAACCTAGAGGCTGAAAATAGCGTTTCTACTTTTTTTATGAAATTGTATTCTTCATCTATTGATGGGGATTGTTTTCTTTGTTTATACCTTTAAACGTTGAAGCTCTATTGTTTATTACAAACTGATTTATTTTTTCCTCTACCTTTTCGCCAGTCTAAGTCCTCCAAGTGTTCCAGATGCAAGTCTCTTTGGAGAGGTTATTGGAGATGCTTTTGCATTGGCCATGGTTGGATATGCCATATCTATTTCACTTGGCAAAACATTTGCACTGAAACATGGATACAAGGTTGATAGCAACCAGGTAAATAATGTCTTTAATAAGCTTTATTTCTGCAGATACCTTTAGTGTACAATCAATTTCTCAAACCTTATTTCTCTTCTCATTCAAATGTTTCTTTCTCCACCCTGCTTCAGGAGCTGGTGGCGCTGGGTCTCAGTAATGCGGTGGGAGGATTCTTCCAGTGCTTCTCCGTCTGCTCCTCTATGTCTCGAAGTCTGATTCAAGAAACCACCGGAGGGAAAACTCAAGTGAGTGAGCAGCAGAAGTAACAAGATTATATCAGCTTGACCTCACAAGTACTGTGAACATGCAACATGCAATAATTATACTCTATTATGACCCATTTAAGGACGATTGAGTAAGAGTAAAAAGCAAATAATGTTAATTAAATAAAACCACATTGTGTACGTAGGAAAATCGAAAACTGACCGTACTCAAACACTTTTTTATTGCCTTTCAAAATACAGCAACATTGTTATTTTTGTCACCATGTTATCATTACTGATCTGAACACAAATAGTTCAAAACAACCAGAAACTTCATGTTTTTATTGCAGATGGCCGCCGTTGCCTCGTCTCTAATTGTGTTGGTGACTATACTGAAACTTGGACCCTTGTTCCAGGAGCTGCCAAAGGTTCTGTTACTCTAACACTCCTCTTCACTACAAAGTAGACTTAAAGTTAATATCTATAATGCATGAGATGTTATTGCAATGGATTGTTCTTATTAATCATGTTGGTTGTGTTTGTTTCAGGCTGTCCTTGCAGCGATTGTCTTTGTAAACCTAAAGGGCATGTTCAAGCAGCACTCGGACATTGTTACACTGTGGAAACGCAGCAAGATCGATCTGGTGAGAGGTTAAATTATTATTCATTTGAACAATACCCCTACAAGAAACAACTGCAACATAATCAAGTGTGGTGTTGAATCTAGAAACAGCCATTGTTCTTGTTTCCTTTTCATTATCATGCTGCACCCCCCCAGATGGTGTGGTTGGTCACTTGGGTGTCAACACTGCTGCTCAATCTGGATCTGGGTCTGGCAGCATCCATCCTCTTTGCTCTGCTGACTGTCATTTTCAGAACTCAGATGTAAGACTCTTCTGAACTTTATCATATTATTTCTCCCTTCAGTATCTGAGTTATACTGTGTATGTGGGAATACACATATAAGCCAATGGTGTTAGGATGCAAATGTAGCCAGATTATAAAAATAATACTGTATAGAAACATAATATTTTGTTGTCTTTTATTCCTTTAAGGCCAACATACTCTGTTCTGGGAAATGTTCCAGGTACAGAACTGTATGTGGATATAGAGACCCACAGAGAGGTGAAACAAGAGGACTAACCGTACAGTAAATAAGATCTTTCCCACACTCACAAGAAAAATGTGAAAAACCTTTTGCTTTTTTACAGGCGAGAGATGTTCCTGGTGTTACTATATTTCGCTCCTCAGCTACAGTTTATTTTGCCAATGCTGATCTGTACATCGAGGCTCTGAAAGAAAAGGTTTGTTCTCTTTCATAGTGAAAAACAAAGTACAAGAATCAGTCCAATATGCCACCTTCAAATGCTTTGCTTTATCATACCATTCCCAAAACCAAAAGATATTCAGTTAACCCTTATGTTGTGTTCGGGTCTCTCGTGACCCGTTTCAAGATACAATTATATAATAACTACGCTCTAGTTTTTTTGTATCGAAACAAGGCTTCATGATATCCTCCACAACAGCTATATAAACACTACAAAACTGATTTTAGCCAAGTCTGAAGGTCTCTAAAAAAAAAGTGTATAATTTGGTGTTCGGGTCTGGGAAGACCCAGCAGAATTGTTTTGGGTGACTCGGGGTCAAATTTGGCCCAATCAAGATTCATCTTTGACTTTAGACAAAGCATAAATATCTTGTTTTTGTTCCTTAATATTTTTAAAAGATGCAGATTATGTATTATCTTTCTTGTTGATCTTTTTTCAGAGTGGGCTTGACATCAGTAAAATGATTATCTATAAGAAGAGGCAGGAGGCCAAACAGAGACGTAGAGAAAGGAGGGCCGAGAGGCGGGAAAAAAGGCAAGCCAAAAAAGAGGTGTGTACGCTTGAGATGTATAATACAACTGCAAAAATAATACTTTAAAAAATAGTAAACATTTTAACGAACAGTCAAAAAGATTTGCACCCAAATCCTGTGAATTAAAAAAAGTAGGGCTGCAAATGGTGATCAAATTATTTATTAATGATGTCAATGAATTGCTTTATCTATGAAATGTAAAAATAGCTGGTCGATAATTGTTTAGATTAGTAAATTACTGGAAAAGTAAATGTAAAAGTAAATGGCTGAAGAGTAACACTGGACAAAACTACAGGTGACCAATGAACAAGTTACCAAAAAAGTCTGCTTTGTTAAAAGGAGCTTGACTGATTTGTTTCTCGTACCCCTCTTCAGAGACGGGCAGCACAGAGGGCAGCTAAACATCTATCTGGAGCGCCGGTGTTCTCTGTGGAGGAAGAGGCCGGCAGCTGGAGAAACACCTGTGTGGACGGGGATGTTACAGACAGAGAGCAGCAGGGCTGCACTGAGAGGGAGAACGGGACAGTGTTCATCATCCCAACTACTCCTCGAACCCCCGACAGATGGGAGTACCTGAAGGGAGGAGAACCAGACTGCACCAGCTTAGGGTCCATCTCCGAGCTGCAGGAGGGGGACACCACCACCCTGGACTCCAGCAGCGATGACACGCTCAGCCGCGATCTGGAGCGCATCTCTCTTGGATCACTGGGCAAGTGGAGCTGGGATATTCACTCAATCATTATCGACCTCTCCACAGCTAACTTCATTGACATAGTGGCAATCAAGACTATCAAAAATGTAAGTACTAAAGTGAGAAATATTTCATTTAAGGACAAATGCCTTTAAAGTTGTCATTCGAAAATGTCCGCATTACAATATCTTTAAATTACTCGACCTATGTTATATTTTGTTGAAAAAATCCTTGCTATCCTTTTTAATAAGGGAATGACAAATCTTCAGCACAAACAAAACTGATTTAGATTTAACTTTGTCTTGGTGTTGATGTCACTGAAATGGGAGTTTATTATATACATAATGTATAGTACTCTTTAACTGTTACATAAACTCTGATGATTAACTGTGAGATAATTAATAAGGGTGATTCGTTGCAACTGATGGGGAACAAACAGCATGCATATTCTGAATTTTCCTTTTTGCAGATTATCCATGACTTCAGTGAGATTGATGTAGATATCTACATTGCTTGTTGTCAAGGTAAGTGAACCCACTTTTCCTGAAGCCTGCACTGCATGAAAAGTCTCCACTGTGGTAGTAAATTGTATGTAAAATGTTTTTTCCTCAGCCCCTGTAGTGGAACAATTAGAGCTTGGTGACTTCTTCTCTGAGACGATTACAAAGAGAAGTCTTTTTGTCTCTGTTCATGATGCTGTGCTCTACTGTCTGAACCACCGCGGAGCCACATCTATCCCCAGATACGAGCCATCAGTGGTGAGTATGTGCAGCTGATGTCCAGGTGGACGTGCAAGATTGATACTTAACATTTTGATTAAACTAAACTACTTTCTGTTTTCAGGATACATACGATGGCACAAAACTTTAAGGGGTTTTAACCAGAGGACATCCAGTGCTGAAGATGTAAAAAATGTCTCAACATGGGGGGGCAGTCCAAATATTTGATGGAATTGTATTTATAAAGTAATGATGGACAAGTGTTGTGTTATATTTATACATCTTATCTTTCAAGTAGGAAAACTGATGACACATGATCTTTTATTGAGTTTTTATTCAATGTGGAAGAGAGATAGAGTGCATTGTAGAGAAAAAATAAATAAAATCCACGAAACACCCTAACGATACCTAGAAAATAACGAGGAATCCAAAGAACAAACACTAGACAACATGCATCACGGTGACAGTGTGTCAGCCTTTTTTGGTAATGGCAGCAATAACAACGTAGGACATTGAAATGTTTACAGTAGCCATTTCAATTTTCAAGTGCAATTTCTGCTCATAGCAACAGCTACACCTGTGGAGCTAATCCATGCAAAGGGAATTTTTTTTGTCCTAACTCTTTTAAAGAGTTTCTAATACAACATTCCTAAAATGGTAAATTATGAGGGATTAAAAAATAACAGGATAACAATATCCAAGCAATACTTAATAAAAGCATCTCTTTACAGTTGCATAAACCCACTGTGACCTCATTCCCTGAATAAAACTTGTCTCCACATACTGGCCACAGAGGATGTTGCCAAAGACTTTGTGCACATGACTGAGGAAGGCTAGGTAGGTTTTCTTTTTCATTTTGGTTTATGAGCTACAAGTCTTGATGGATATCAGAACTCTGCGTGTCCTGGTTTAGAGTCAGATCTTCATCATCATCGTCCTCTGGCTGCTGTGAAACCAGCTGCTGGTAGCGAGCCTGCCGCTGGTAATCCGGGTCGATGTTGATCCATTTATTTGCAACCCACTTAGTGCCCTGGGTGACCATGCACCCTCCATGCAGAGCGTATTCATCCTGCTCTCCTACCCAACCTTTTGAGAGAGAAAAAATAATAATTTAACTCAACAAGCCATTCAGATTTCGCTCAGCTCCCCCGACGAGTTACGGACCTGAAAATGAGCATGATATATCCTTTAATGTTGATGAGCAACTTCCTTTGTCTGTTTTTTAGGGCTCACACTGATGTTCTGGTTACAAAACCGCTTGGTCATGATAGGTTGACAAAGATAATGAAGTTTTTTTCTTGTAGCTAACACCTGAGTTTATTAGTTTTACTAGAAATTAACCATAGTGCACTCAGACTTTGCTGTATTCTTACAGTTTGTATCTGTCTTTCTAGATAACCTTCAATCTTTACAACACCAATTTTTAATCTCAACACTTTGACTCCAGTTAATATGTTTACTCTAATTTCGTGCCACCAAATTGTGATACTTACATGTGAATTGCCAAGATGTATGAAATTTAAAATACAATTTTAGGATTTACTGTATGCTAACAGGCAGCCTATGGGGATGGCAATGCTGGCCAATCGTTTTGACTAAATATCTCTGCAACTATTGGATTGAATGTGACACTTTGATGACCCTCAGGCCTTTTTATCTGGTGTAATGATTAGGTCAGAGTTTTCAATTAGTCAGTGACATTTGTAAACAGAAATTCATGTTTTCTGGACAGTGTATCCTAATGCATTTGGTGTTCCTCTGACTTGTAATCTAGTGCTACAATGAGGCTAATGTGTCAAATTCAAATGACTGAATCAGCTGTATTGTGTGTTTAGTGCTAAATGGCTAATGCTAACACGTTTGGATTGTCCTGATGAACATTAGCATAGAGACATTAGCATTTACCTAGCATTTAACATTTGAAGAGCTGCGATCTGAGCTGAGGACTGAAAGTCTTGTTTACTTTTCAATAATATTGTGTAAGGTTTTGAAAACTATATGTCAACAGACTTTACCTTTTGATATTTGCGCTGGAATGTGTATACCGGAAAATTGTTAATTTAAAATAAAATTCTAAATGTGCTCTATTAAATTGATTGAAATGAGTGTTTGCTGATTAGCATCTTTATTGCCACATAATGTTAAAAAGTGTGATTTTTAATGGGAATCCTACCTTTTCCATCCGAAAGATAGTTGTACCAGAAAACAGCTGTCCCTTTGGAAGGTTTCACCCTCAGGTTACCCTTGTCACAATTCCTTCTGGTGTCCAAAAGGTCCACATCATTCTGTATGAGGGACTAAAACACACACTAAACTCCGTGACACAGTTTTCTGAACGTCCAAGCCTTGCACTCACTGCCAAACATGTGAGTTAACATAGATATGAAAGACATGCACAGTGTGTACACAATACTTTTCCAAAGCTCTCCCTACACATTTCAAGGCCCACACACAATTACCCACCACTTCATCATAGGTCCTGTTGTCTGCCACAGGGAATGCGGTCTCCCCGCCCCCCTCAACAGAGTTCAGGTAGAAGAGAACTGTGATGTACCTAGGTGTGCAACACAGATTTAAATTGACACACACACACATTTGGTGCAAACAAACAAACAAACACATACTGTACAAACACTTTGTAAGCAGTAGACAAGCATACACATTTTTCCCAAGTTAAATCCCACAAACTACCATGCAGGCTTTCAACATGGAGTTTAGTAATCACACTGCGCAGATTAATTCAGATCTGGTTGGCCTACACACTGTTGTCTCACCTGCAAGACGTCTCGAAAGGAGTGGAGGTGTTGGCCGCGAGACGTGTGTGTGTGCAGGCAGTTTCAGGATACACAGGGCCGCTGTCATGGTGGGCATGGTAGTGTCCTCCCTGCTCATACCGAACCACCTGTAGCGGCTCACTGAGGTCCACTAATGAGGGAGGGAGCCGAGTGAGGCGAGTCACCCTGAGAAAGGTGAAGAAAAAATATGTTAAAATGGTTATTTATTTGTGATAACCGAGTTATTACAGGAATAGACTTGCTTACTTCGTCTTGATGTCTTGGAGGACCTGGTGTGCTCCTTTGCCCTGATACAGCCACGTGTGTCTGCTGTTCCTCACCAGCTGACTCCTCTTCACCCCTCGCTGCAGCAGGAAGCGCTGGAAGGCATCGTTGCTCAGAAGCCTGAACTCTTCTAGACTCAGCAAACCTGTCCAGGATATGTGAATGCAAATATCAACCTGATGCCTTGGGTACGTTTTAATTTCATGCTTCATTGACACTTAGCGTTGAAAATCCTGGGAATATTCAAAGTGGAAACTTCAATTTGTATTAACTGGAATAAATGGAAATATAGGGTTATTTGCTGAGGCTCTTTCTGTTAGGTCAAATGCAGATAAAACAAACCTTTAATCAAATCATTAGTATAAATAATAATCCTTGTAATAGAAATTAAAACAATAATATTGTGGAATTATATCTAAATAAGTTGACTAATTTAACATTGGGGTAAAAAATAAATCTAAAATGGAAATAGATATATTTCTGTAAAACAAGTGCAGTTTCTTTGCCCAATTTTTACCATCGCCATCCTTGTCAGCTTTGAGACCAGTATAGATTTCTCGCAGATTCTCCGGTGTGAGCCAGATGCCGTCCCTTACTCGAGAATGAGTCAGTATCTGTTGGAGGCACGATCGTAAAGACAGGATGAGTTAACTCTGAACCAAAAACTAGTGCATGTCATACATTAATACAGAACATGCCCACGATCCACAAACAGACATACACCTCATGAAGCTGCAACTGTCCATCTTGGTTGATATCAAGAAGGTTGAAGATCTCGTCTGGACTGAGGTTGAGCTCCTTAGCCAGCTCTTCCTGACCCTCCTGCACCATCAGCTGGCTCTCCATTAGACCCTTTAGCTGTGCAAGCTGCATCACAACACGGCACTCATCATCCGACAAAAACCCAGGGATCTCTGCAGACAAACACAGAGACAAATGAAGTTACACACAGAGTAATTACTCTTGGGTTAAAAGAAGATAAAACATCATTGCTTTTATATTCAAAACCTTTCTCCACTTGAAGGATTTGCTAATTAGTCACCTTTGAAATATTTTTTTAAACCTGTCCTTTGTGTCATTTCTTGTTTCTTTTAAGGGTTTATTCGAGAAAATAATCAGCATTTAATTGACACTCAAAATGATAGTTTATTTTATTAAAAACAATGCAGACCCATGATGCCTGGCGTGAACAATAATACAAACATTAGAACAGTTATATAACCCTACTGTATAGTTGATCTATGTTTTACATAACAACAACAATAATTAATATTAATATGAATTAATATTATTTAATAATTATTTTTTACATAACACTAATAAAGAGAACAAAAAATGTAAATAAAAACAGTTGGGTATACTAAATGTTTTTACTTTAAAACGTTTGTGCCATCTTTACTTCTAAAAACCTAATTTGTATGTTTTATATTGTTAGTTATGTTAGGGACAGATGTTTATCTGCTCTGTAGCCAGTCAGCTCTACGCCCTTAATTGCAGTAGTTGCCTCAGGACCTATTGACATATGTTATATTGCATATGACCTCAGCATGCACATATCTGTTAACTAGGTTATGTGTTTGGGGGTGGAGAGTGTTATGAATGCATGTTTGATTTGAGGAGAAGAAAAATAAGCCTCTTTACTGAAGCTTTAGGCCTACCTCTATGCAATGAAGGCTCATGTGGGTGTGCTGCAAATTTGTTTTGATACACGGGTGCTTTGTTTCTTACCAAAAAGCAGAGGTTTCATACTCAAAGTCCTCATTTCATGCACTTTGTTTTGCATCAGTGACACCTTTTGGACGTGTCCCACCTGAGAGATAGATCAGAGAAGTGATGTAGTGCTGCTACAGTGTTTAAGAGAGAAACACACTAAATGAAAGAGTGGGATTGATGCAAACATGTTCACATTACTCACCCTAATCCCCTCGATCCTTGTCAGAGAACTGACGCGCAGAAACTCGGGCTTTGATGGCGGACGTGGCGACTCGGGCTGCTGCTGGTTGCTGCTCGGAGCATCACGACCCTGGCTGGTATCTTCCTGCCCGCTATTGTAGTGCACGTAAAACAGCAGTGCAATAACATTGATGATGTATACATGAAAAAACACCATCACTACTACGAAGTAGGAGCGGGAGCACACGCCGCTCTTGTTGCAAGTGGGGCGGTC